TGTCAGAGACAAGAAACAGACCACTTACAAGGGAGCACCCATCAGAATTACAGCAGATTTCTCTGCACAAACCATCAAATCACGAAGAGCGTGGGGGGAAATAATTCAAGCTTTGAAAGATAATAATCTCCAGCCAAGATTGAGATATCCTGCACAACTGTCCCTAGAAATTGATGGAAAAACAAGGTGCTTCCAGGATAAAGAGGAACTGGGGGAATTTGCAACCACCAATTCAACTCTACAGAGAGTATTGCAGGATATTCTAAAAAAAGAAAAATACAAAGAATCCAGAAATAGTGGAGGCCACAACGAATGGAGCAGAGAACAAAGTGAAGAAGACAAACTGACAGCTACTGACAGAATAAGAGCTCAACAGAAATGAGGCAGAGAAGATTGGATGATAGGAACAGCTATTTTGGAGAAAATGACATCTTAATAGGTAATACTGATTTAGTATCATCTTGTTTTGAAGTCTCATCTAGCTTTTGTCCTTCTGTCTCCAATGGTCCAAATAGGTTGTATCTTACTGGATTTTATTATGTACGATAGTATAAGCAAAAACCTTTTAAAGATGAGGAGATTATACAGAAACCATTGTTCATTTTCTGTTAGTCGATTCTAAATACTCTATAATGCTGTCATTCTCTTAAATGGTTTTACATTGTTTTGATATACTTAATGCTACAGTATACGAATTTGTACTCAAGGATTTCAAGGAAAGAGACAATATGGTAACTACTTTTAGGTCAGGATTATCTGGTGGTGAAACACTATTCTGCTTAAATGGTTATGTTTTGATCTGTGCTGTTTCGTTGTTATGCCCTCTTTTATCTCAATCTCCACTCCATTATTTACTTTTTTATTTTTATCCTTTTAATTAAAGGAAAAAAAATAGCAGGATATATTACAGTAACCCACTTTGACTTTCCATTACCTCGATTTAAAGCCCTGTATTACTCTCACCATCTGGTTTTTAACTGAAGTTCCCCTATTCTGTTTTGCTGGATAGTATCAGGTTCGAAAATTTAGGCATCAGCTGTGAAGATAATGAGATTCATTATAACGCCCATTCTCGTTGACTTTTATCTACTTTTGAAGACCTACAATGTCTCCGATGTTTTGGTTTTGTCGGTTTTATTCTTTACTATTTTGTTCAATTGTATTATAACTAACGATATAGGCAATTCTATTAGAGATAGCGGGAGGCATTATGGTAACCATTGTTGATCACCTTGTATTATGTTTTCACATTATCTATTACGTCCACCCTTTTGACTTGACCGATTCTGTTCTGTTATGTCACATTTGTTTTTACTCTCTTCCAAAAAAGTAATAAGAACCGTGGGAGCAATGAAACCCAAAATGTGTAATAGTCATTGTACAAAAGAGGAAAAGAAAGTGCTCTATACTATATCACTGCATGTATATTTAAGTGTATAAGATAGAAAATGATATCACAGAGTTTTATTGGATCATTGAACAGAACTGTTTGCAGTATCATTGATGGAATGTCCACTTTACAAGCTTTAATTTTGTGACTTGAACAATTATTTCTAAGATGACAGTATGTAATCCATTAACTAGTGATTTCCTACTGTTCATTTTTTTTCTGCAAATCTGTATAACTTGTACCCTTTCTCTGCTTTTTTTTTCTTTTCTCCTTAAATAAAATTTAAAAAAAAAGACTAGATTGAACTGCACAGTGAGACCCCCACACACACACATATACACACACATACACACACACATATACACACACATACACACACACATAACTGTTACATATAAAAACAGAATAGAACTGGGTTGTCTGTAAATTTGTAATAAAGCTATGGCTTAAATGATAAGAATTAAATTTGTAATCACTATTTGTTTCACATAGTGATTTGGAATTTATTTATTGTCTTTTTGAGACAGTTTCACTATGCAGTTCAGGCTGGCCTTGAACTAACTTTGTAGCCCAGGCTGGCCTCGAACTCACAGCGATCTTCCTGCCTCAGCCTCCCAAGTGCTGGAATTACAGGCATCCGTCATCATACCTGACTGTAACTTGCTTATAAGCCAGTCTGTTTTACAATTAGCCATAATAAGACTATAAACCCAGAGAAAGTAGAAAGTGAAATAAAATTTTTTAATGACTTCTAGTGAAAACTCTATGCTCTTAAAATTTTTATTAACATCTTTTTTTAAAATGTGTTTTGTTGTTTTTTTGAGACAGGGTCTTGCTCTATAGTTCAGGCTGGCCTTGACCACACTATGTAGCCCACACTGTCCTTGAGCTCAGTGCAGTCCTCCCTTCCTCAGCCTCCCAAATACTGGGATTACAGGCATGAGCCACCATGCCTAGTCCCATCGTTTAAAATTCTAGTATCATTAAAACGCATGGAAGAGAAAGCCTGTACGTGGTAACAGGTACACACATTATCACTAGCAGAGTCACACTTGTCTCAACCTTGTAGGTCAGATGGTCTCTCACCCTTATTGTGGCAGAGGCTCCTGGCTTATTTAATCTCCATGTCATCCAGTCTGATTGCTGGTCACCTGTGAGCTACTTCTAATCTGGAGGGTCAGTCACCTTCCCACTGCAGCCCAAACACCTAACATGCACGTGGTTATGGGACCCAGTTATCCCAGCACCACCTGCTGAAGAAACTTGTCTTTCCTCATTGAGTGGACTTGACACCCACGTCGGGAGAGATATGTGAACTGATAGCTCCTTTTGAGTCGTAAAAGCAAGACAGAAACAGATACTAATCATAGCATGTGTGTTACTGACTGGAGTGATCCAGGGGGAGGGATTTATTTTTTTCAGTTTCAGCCCATGGTCACCTGGCCCCATGGCAGACGGGCCTGGCAGAGCTAAGCTGTGTGTGCAATCACCCTGGGAAGCAGACACAAGGCTGGGCTTAGACACCTACATGTGCTGTCTCCTCCAACCAGGCCCCACAGAGCCCATCAGCTATGCACGCATGAACAGTCGATCCGTGGATAAGATCAGTGCCTTCAAAACTCGGTAACCTCTGCAGGGAGGGGGTCTTTAATCCAGTCACGATGACAGTCAAGATTATCCAGTCCTCAGTAGGAAGCCAGAGCTAAAAGGGTCACTGAAGTATCTTTACAAGCTCAAAGAGTCCCTCCAAATATCTGGCTTTTATGTTTATTGGGCTGGAAATACCCAAGCTTTGAAGACAACAGGCAATAAACTAAAGGCCAATGATCTCTGCTCAAAATTACCTCTCCAAATTCCACCAGGCAACAAAGGGGAAATATGCCAATTCAAGGTTAGTGTAAAAAGTCGACCTTGCACAGTATTTTAAATGGTATTATGAACTATTCTAGCAGCTTAAGATCTTATCTGGGACTTTGTATAAAAAAAAAAAAACAAGCAACAACAAAACAAAACACAAAATAACTCTGTATAAACAGAAAAATCTGAACGTCAGTTACTATAAAATACATCACTGAGTATTTGACATTAACCACTGGTGATTCCAAAAGTGTTTAAAATATTTCTAAATGATTTGAATGGAAAAATTTTAAACTATGAATTTTGTTTTTAAGTTTCTTTTCTGAAAGTGTTTCATTGGGGAACAAAATATGCTGCCGTTGCTAAGAAATAAAATATTTTAGTGAAAAGGTTCTATGTGGCTTCATTTTGTGTGTATATATATAAAATATATGATTATATTGTCTATATATTAAATATATAATTATCTACTCCTCACACTATATTTCAAGTCTAAAATTATTCAAACACCAGTGTTCTTATAGACAGCGAAATATTCAATATAATTCCTCCAGCTTCCAACATGAGATTTCTCCAGTCAGCAGCCATCTTGTGTTATAAATCATAATACATAAAACAAATTTCGCCACATTGCAGCCTGAAGGACAGATGTGAAAAAAGTATGTACATATAGAAAACAGACCACATTCTTAAGAGTTATAAAAAAGTCTCCTTGTAAGGAACGGAGCTCTGAAGCAGATTTACCTATGTCAACTGAGCATGCATAAACCCCGAGGAGATGAGCTAAACGCAGCAGGAATGTGGATGGCAGGGCTAAGACAGAGGATTAAAAAGGTGGTATGGATTGTAAATGACCAAGACAATTTCTCTCATGCTTTAATCAAAAGTAGGAAACACATGTGCATGGAATAAATGATTGTCAGATACCACTGATGTGAGAAAAGGCGCTGAACACATGAGAGGCTGACCAAGTGCAAACCCTGCATACAGTGCTGAGCCACAATCTTTGAAATGTGCTGCATAAGTGACAAAATGGTATGCGTATCTTTTAGCAAGTTTTCCATGAAGCTGGGCTTGGTGGTACATCCCTATAACCCCAGCACTTGGGAGGCTGAGGCAGGAGTATTACTGTGAGTTCAAGAGCAGCCTGGGCTACAAAGTGAGCTCAAGGCCAGCCTGGTTGGTACAGGGAGACCCTCTCTCAAAAAAGACCAAAAAAAAAAAAAAAAAAAGTTTCCCATGAGTACAGTGATACCTCAGTTCCCAAACGCTTCTGTTTGTGAACAATCTGATTCACACATGAAAACAGGAATCAGGTGACAAATGTAACCACTGTCATCTTTCCCAAAATCATGGAACAAATTAAGTTTGTGAACCGAGGTACCACTTCTTTAGGGACATATACTTTTGCACAAAAATAAACCATAACCAAATGAAAACAAAAAAAATTTCTATCTTCAGAGAAAAAATTCCCTTCCTTCAGAGAATAAAGATTATCTACCTCTACCTTAAGTAAAATTATATAACTTCCAGCTTCTAGGTACAGCTCTAAGACAGTGCTCTTAATTAGCTCTATCTCCCAACACAGGGAGACAGGATCTACATCCTTATTTCGCCAGTCCTTCCCTCCAAAGAACTGCCGTAGCTTCTTAAATGGAATATGAATCAACCAGAAATATTTCTCCCCAGCTTTTTGAATTCACGACAAGCTTATTCATGGAAACTGATGAATCAACACAGCTGAAACATTCCATTTATTTTACGCATTTTTATTTAATAAATAACTTCAGTAAACAGCATCATAAAAAGTGAACTGTTAAAATTAAGAGGCACTTAAAACAAGAACGTGGCTCGTTTGAAACAAGATGAGCAACTCCAACAGTGAGAAGTGAGTGCAGGGCCCTGCTCAGGCTGCAGAAGGTGACAGGAGGTGATGTTGCCTAAGTGACCGCCACGCTCCCCATGTTCGTGGAAAAGGCAAATATACAGCTACAGCTTCAAAGAGAAAGAACTGACAAAGTCTTACTCCAAACTGCAAATACACTGAGAGATTAGAGGAGGTGATAAAAAGCACCAGGTATTAAAAAATAAAATAAAACAAATCTAACTCAAAAGGTCCCCAAATCAGCAAATGCTACGTGAATTATGGCCTTTAGGTAAATAGTGCTAGATCAAGGACTCTTTAGCAGAAAATTTCCCAGTACTTTTATCCAAGCCTTGAGTTTATAAAGGAAAGGCATAAAAGTTACCGAGACTGAGTAACTCTTAAAATGGCACACAGGTTTTAAAGCTATTTGTTTTTCCTTCCGAACTCTCTCAATTTTTCCCATGGCCTTGGAAGAGCCACCATCTCAAAACAGTTTCACACCAGTTAACCCTCAGCACATCCTTCAGATACGTGATCCATCATTTCTAACAGGCAAACATCAAAATATAGATTGCAAACAATCCTAACCTGGTTAGCAAGACATTTACTTTGGAATCCGGTGTAACCGAAAACTGACATATCTATAAAGCTAAAAATCAGTTTTAATACATGATTACCAGAAACTCCCATCATGCTCATTAACTCCTGACCTTTCAATCACCCTCAAAACGTCATTTAATTCAGTAAGAGCTTGATTTCAAAAGTCCAGGAAGAAAAGGTCAAAAAAGGCACAACGTGACCTTAGCTGACAAGGATAACAACCCTGTCTCAAGTCTTTCGTCAGTCCCTGGCATGGATTACAACATTATTTTCAAAATAATAAAAAAAAAAAAAACTTTAAAAAATTATACATATTATACATTGTCAAAACTTGCACATGAATAAAACCATGGCAACAGAGCCCTAAAGCTACCTTACTGTGGCTATGAAAATTGCTACTTTGCATTCAGTGTTGTGAAATTTGCACAGGTAGTACGGATTCACTTCCCCTCATACTTTGGATTCACTACAGTTGTCACGGCACTCTTATAAATAGGATTTTCACCCTAAAAGAGAGAGAGAGAAAATTATCAGTCACTCAGTAAAAATCATAGTCATCATTTCATAAAACAATACTAAAAGTCACAGCCATGTGAAAAAGTCATTCTACTATATAGATCCAGGTAGTGCAGGTGTTTAGCGGGAGTTATTAGCAGCTCGCACAGAGACACAGCACGAAAGCTTGTGCCGGCAGCCACACGCTGAGCCTACAGCGGCCACCGGCTCACCCAAGTCTTTCCGCTGCGGAGGGCTGACAGGAGCATTTCCTCCGCGGCAGAGAACACGCTGCTCCTCCGTGGGCTCTGCCCCGTGAATGCTCCCAATGCTGGCTTAGGGAAGCACAGACACCGCCTGCCTCGCACCTCCTGAGGAAGCACGCAAGGTGCTGGCTAATCCAGATGAGGGTCTCTGGCTGCTCCCTTCGTGAGGAGCTGTGCTCTTGGCTCTGACAAAAGTCACTGACTAAACATACTGGGTTAAGGCTGCCAGTGTCACTGAGTGTCCTGTGTCTCCGGCAAGTCATTCTGCCAAATATGCTTAGACGGTGTACTAATCAGCATCCTCCTAGAAATTACCACTACTCTTGCTGAAGTACTCTGCTACCCAACACTGCAGTGCAGGAAGGGACCCCACGCTGTGCACACAAGGAGTCTTTCCAGATCCACAAATATACCAACAGTGATATTATAGGCAGAAAAATACCACAGCCATATTTGTGCCTTTAAGGAAGATGGAGTGGTGTAGACATGAAGGGAAGCCACTCTGGTAAGAGTCCATCATAGAAGAGGAACAGTACCGGAAAAGATAGATGCTCTTTATTCAAGAAGCATAGCAATATTTTTATAGTGACACTTCAGAAAAATTACTGAAATAAATAGAAATATATACAAAATCAAGAGCAGAGAAAAACAATGGCACATTTATGTAGACATCTATCTAGTGCCAAAGTTTCTAAGTCCAAGTCCTCTGGGCGTACACTGTAAGGTGTGGGGCAGGGAGAGAAGAAAGGCAGGGCCGATCACGGAGAGGAAGTAGACCACCTGAAGGCGGGGCTCCAGCTCAGCAGTTGGGGTGCATGAGATCAACACAACTCACTTAAAGCCCTCATCCCCCACTCCTCCAAATACAACTTAACCAGCTGTTTCTGAACATGGAGAAATTCAGCACTCCTCAAAGACAAATATGGGTGATAAACTGTAAAAATTCTCAGACTTTTAATCCCAGCAGGTTATTATATAGACATTCAGAAACAGCAGTCTGCAAATCATAGCTCAACAATTAGCTCCTCAGCAAGCCAGACAGCAAACAAGTTACTGATTATTTCCACTCCTCTATCTGCAGACGAGGCAGCACTCGGTTCTTTCAAATATGTTAGGCTAATAAATTATCACTTAATTAAGTTTCCTTAAATGATGCATTAGGTAAATACAAATTTTAATTCTTAGAATAGTAGGATAGGGACCCCTAAACAAACAAACAAACAAAACCAAATGAAGTATCAAGCCCAATATTAATGAGTCCAAAGTATAATTTATATGGGAGAACTTACCTTTGGGAACAAGTCTGCTTTGCTACACACATAAACATATTTATTATTTTAAAGTTCATCCAAACAAAAGTTTCACATGCAAGGTTAGAGATAAAACTGAACTATCTGGATTAGGCATCAGTTTAAATGGAAGTGAACTCAAGTAATTCAGATTAGTTCTCATTATTCAGAGTGCAATTCCACCCCACAAAGAAACAAAGCTAATTTAAATCTATTCTGCACTGAGGGCCGCGGTACTCAGGAAAGATCACCCTGTGCTCTCTCAAAGGCTGAGAGTGGTGGCTGGAAAATCATCCCTATAATCTGATTATTAGGTGTATCAGACAAACTGAGAGATCCGAAATCCATATTTAAATCTGCCTAACAGCAGAGGAGGACAGACTAGTTCTTTCAACCTAGCTTAAAGTTATAAGTTTTTTTTTTAACGTACCTACCTAGTAGTTGTATCTGTCAGAATAATTACAGTGTGTGCTAATAATGTAATGAATTAACTGGCCCCATATCAGAAAAAGCTTTATAATCATCAATTTCTACTATTAATTTCTACTATTATACTGAGTATAATATACAACATACAGTATATTATACTGAGTATAATATATAACATCTCAGTATAATCTACAGCTATGATTGCACCTAGGCATTCTAGAGAGCTTGCCTAGCAAGTGTGAGGTGTTTGTTTAATCCCCGGTACAGTTACTTCTTGAGTTCTACGATACACTTATTCTGGCTGAAGAAGCCAGATTTTAGCCAAAAATTAAGTCAACTATATAAACTTTAGGTATAAACAGTAATCATTTATTGTTACTTTCCTTAAAGGTATGATCAAGTATACAGCAAGGGTGAAATTTTCACCTTGGAAAAAAAATAGAAATTTTTCTCTCTTGTGAGAAATAACATGAAATTGTCAGTCTTTGCCTGTTTTTGACCTACAAAGAAAAAGAAAAATATCCCAGTAATTTCACTGGCTCATCAGTTTTTCTTTAAAAGTAACTTTTTTACAGTTTTAGGTGAGAAAGACAAGAAAGGGCCGGGGATATAGCTGAGCAGCATAAGCACCTGCCTAGCAAGCGCAAGGTCCTGAGTTCAATTCCTAGTACCAAAAAGAAAACAAAGAAGAAAGAAAATAAAAGAAAGAAAAAAAGAGTGAGTCACATTTTGGACTGCAGCAACCACATGCCTGTAATCCCAGCATTTGGGAAGCTGAGGCAGGAGGATTGCTGTGAGTCCAAAGCCAGCCTGAACTATACAGTAAGACCCTGTTCTTTAAAAAAAAAAAAAAAAAAAAAAGTTGGGCATGGTAGCTCACACCTGTAATCCCAGCACTCAGGAAGCTGAGGCAGGAGGATCCTTGTGAGTTTGAGATCAGCTTGGGCTACAAAGTGAGCACAAGGCCAGCCTGAACTGCATAGTGAGACCCTGTTTCACAAAGACAAAAAAAAAAAGTAGCACCTATTCATATATGAATTTGACTGTAATTTTCTGCTATCAAATTTGACTTTAAATAAAATTTGCTTAGAAATGATAAAGATGGGGCTGGGGATTTAGCTCAGCAGCATAAGCACCTGCCTTGTAAGCAGGCAGTTATGAGTTCGATCCCTGGTACTGATAAAAACGAAAAAGACAAAAAAAAAAAAAAAAAAAAAAAAAGAAATGATAAAGATCCGGCAAGTCATGATTCCTGATATGGCTGGTACTTCCTCAGTCCTTCAGAAATACTCATTGTCCCTCTGTTTGCAGCTTTTATTCTGTGCCTTCATGTCCCACGGTGCTGGGATGCAGCCCAGGGCCTCATCAGTGCTAAGTAAGTGCCGTCCCACTGAGCTACAGGCCAGCCCCTGGGCACCTCTGTAGGTACTCACAATACACTGATAACCTAACTCCAGCTCGGAATTCTAAGTATTATTGCAAACCCCCCATACACAGTAGGTATGCCCTAGCAGGAGTGCTGCCCGGAGGTACATGGGAGAGAAGTGATTGCTCTCCGAAGAGGAAAGGACATTCAGCTGAGGACCCATCAGGGTGGATGCGGACTCTGGGTTTGGCTCTCAGATCCCCCACTCATCAGCTCTGTGACCACGGTCAGGTCACCTAACCCTTCTGTGCCTGTTTTCTCACAGGTGACACTGGAATCAGCAGACTCCCTATTTCTCACCATTGGCATAAAAGAAATATAGGCTAAATACTGAAAACAGCCTGAGCTACAGGAGTGCTAGGTAATTTGGGGCTATTACAACTGCATAATTACTGCTAGACCTGTCCGCATCTACACAATAAGGCAGGAAGTGAGAACAAACTGCATCCTTCAGACTTTCCTGTAGGCAGCCCACTGGAAAAGTTCTGTGTCACAATCAGAATTTGCTTTTAAATGAAATGGTTTTAAGTGGCTTTAAATCAGAGTTTTAGGGGTTCCCACGATTACACTAAAATAGGCTGGTAATGTGAAACACAAATTCAGGTGGGAACAGTTTGAAACTATGTAAGAATTCTGTCATTATTGATAAAACGTCATCCAGATGAAACAACAAAATAAGCTACTCAAGTTGGAAAACAAGGTAAGTAAGCCTTACTACAACTGTGAAAGTTCCAATGAGTTTTCATTTTAAACTGTATGAGATTTTTGTTTATCAAGAATTCATATTTAAGAAATTTTCAATCTTAGACTTGAAAATACCATATGCATTAACTAACAAAAAATGCAGTTGGGCGTGGCCTACAATCCCAGCACTTGGGAAGCTGAGGCAGGAGGATCCTTGTGAGTTCGAGACCAGCCTGGGCTACAAAGTGAGCTCACGGCCAGCCTGAACTGCACAGAGAGACCCTGTCTTAAAAAGACAAAAAAAAAAAAAAAAAAAAAAAAAAAAAACACAGACCCTCAGTCCTCTGGCTTTCAGTGGAACCTCAAATTACAAACAAGAACTAAAGAACCAGAAAATCTTTGAACTGTATAACGGCATACCACGCTATATTTATTTTTCTATTTTGCCATTTAAAATTCACATTTGGTTTTTACTACTCAATCTCACAGTTACGCACTAGAACCTGTAGACATAAGGACAGAATCACCCGAAGGCACAGGGCTGACACAGGTAGCGCCACCGAAGGCACAGGGCACTTGGCATGGGCCCTGCACTGCTCTGATTGCAAACGCATTCTTCCCACGGCAGCACAGATACCACCTCTAGACCACAGCACCTGAAGTCCTTCTAAACACTAAGTTAACACACAAAAGGAAAAGCCGTACAAATAAAGCTGTATAAATAAAGCCACAGCTTAAACAACTAGCAAGAGTGATAAAGACACACGGTGCAAAACAGAAAAGCCCACATGCAAAGACAGAAAGTGAAAGAAATACGACCGGCAACTCAGAGACCAGCTTTCCGTCCATAGTTTGGGTTCTTGAAATTATTAATAGGACTCTTGTAAATCGGATTTTCTTGCTGAAGTAAAAGAAAGTTTCTAATGATTTTATCAGAAATAAAGTGACAGGTAGTGTTTCAACACTATAAAAGGGAATCTTTACTACTACACTCACAAAATTTCTACGTTTTTAAAAACCCAAGCAAACTGTAGTAGATACAGATGACTAAATTACACTTAGTTAAAAACACTGAAGACTGGCGTTGCCTTTTGGTATCAAAAGATAAATATAAAGGGCCCCACACCTGACTTCTTACATGAAGGCATTCTTTACCTAAATGCTACCCTAAACTTTCTGTCACTTAAGCTTTTAAAAAAAAAATTTAAAGCATGTCTGAGATCTTCACCGAGTAGGATCATCCTTTTTACACTGGAAGTATAAAATGAATTCAGTGAGTTTTCAAATGCACAAACACACCTATAATCAAGGTCACCCCAAGACATCACATTTAACACTTCTGGTCAACCCTTTCTGCAACAGAGAGATGTAATTTCTCTGCCCTGTACCTGTAGATTTCCCAGAAAATCCTAACGATGGAATCATATTATATGCAACCTTGTGAATCTGTCAACTTCCACTGAAGACAGTTTGTTTTAAGGGGGAGGGTGAGCTTTCAAATGACCAGCTTGCTACAGAGATAATGTTACTCAGGATTCTGTTTTACGTCAGGAAGAAAAGTCACAGAGCAGCTTTAGGATCAAAACTATTGAAAAGAACTAAAAATACAGGCCGCTGAAACCAGATCTTACATTCTCGTATTTTGTTTCAATGAGTTAGTTATATTAAGGATGTTTTCTGGTCTTCACTAAATACAACTTCTTTGAATAAGGAACTTTTAGAAAACTGCAATATTTAAAGGTATACATCAAAACAATATATACGGAAGGCCAACACAGAAAAATGTTAACACAGCTAATCATCAAGGAATTGCAAATAATTGGTCTCACTGTTAATCAACAAGTGTCTTATCTATTTTAGAAATCGCTACAATTTTTAGATGCTTTGTAACTTACCGTGTCCCATTTGGCATTCATTTTCTCCTTTTCAAACTTAGCAAATTCCCTTCTGTCATGAATTATCATTAGAAGTTTCCAAATCAGCAGTAACGCCAGGCCAATGAGAACAATTCCAGCAACCACGCCAGCAACAATTGGAATGATGTCCGGGCCGGTGGGGCAGTCTGCGGGAGGAGAAGGTAACAAGCACAGAGGACTCCAATGAGCCATGTTCAACTACTGACACAAAGAGTGAAGCAGAATCTCACCAGAAACTTTAAAATGTCTTTTATGGTAGCGTCAAAAATCATCAAAAACTTATGTATAATTCTGATCCAACACACGTAACATTTTACATGTTAAAAACTTACTATACAATAAAAGAAACCGAGACTGGAATAAATGGAGACTCCATGTGTGTGAATGAGAGGACTTACTACGGTCTGTGTGTCAGTTCTTCCCTAAATGATTTACAAACTTAAAGTGATCCCTATTAACATCCTGACAGGACTTCTGTATCAATCCACAGGCTGATTCTAAAGCTGACATACAGGAAGAGAAGCAGAGACACTGACATAAAAACACAAACTCATCAGTGAATGGAACGGACAGAGAGCATCAAGGAAAGTATGCACTGACAGCAGGCAGATCCTTGACAGTTGAGGAAAACAGTCTCTTCCATAAATGCAGCTGAGAAAAGCAGGTATCCACATGCAGCAGTCCAAAATCCGATACCTGGATCTCACCACTTACGAGAATCAATCAAAACGGACCAAAGATTTAAATGTAAGACCTGAAATTATGGAACTGCCAGGTAAAAAACATAGGGGACATGCTTTAGGACACTAGGGTGGCCAAGGGTTTTATGGAAAAGATCTCAGAAAGAGAGAAAACAAAAGCAAAATCAGACAAGATTACATCCAACTGAAAAGCTTCTGTATAGCACAGGAAACAATACACAGCTGAGAAAAAATCTTTAGAAATTTAATACTATGACATATGATCAAAAGATACAATGAATACTTTAATGAGGTGCCTTGAGTTGGCTGCCTAAATGTCCTCAATGGATTAAAAACATCTACCTCTCAGGGTCACTCTGACTTTGGGGAAAAGCCAGAAATTCCAAGGTACCTAACCTGGCGAGGATGGCGGGTGAGGGTAAAACCGCACTAGGCTCCTGACCTGCCTTTCTGCTGCGTGGCCCTGGGTAGCAGCGTTCGCCACACCCGATCACACCTTATAAGGACGCTCACAGTGAATGCAAGAACGATGGGGAAGCGTGTTCAAAGAGAAGAGGAGTCTGTAAGGGAGATTAACGGCAAGGTGTCTCCCGTAATACGATCCTTTTAAATTCAGACCCAACCATGTTTTGATCACGCCTGCGTCTACATATGGGAAAAAATATTTACAGACTATCTGACTAACAAGGGCTTAATGCCTAGACTATATCCGGAACTCACAAAACTCAACAGCAAAAGCCAATTTAAAAACGAGTGACACACCAAAATAGGACATTTCTCAAAAGAAGATATAGGAATAACCAGAGTACATGAAAAACAAAAATTCTGACCATCACTAATCATCAGGAAAACGTAAATCAATGCCATGATGAGCTGTTACCTCAGCCCAGTGACAAGGGCTATCATCAAAACCTCAAAGGGAGACGCACCACAGAAAAGGGAACCCTTGCATATCATGGGTAGGACTGTTATTTGAGCCATTAAGGGAGACAGGAGATTCCAAATAAAAATCAGAAGAAGGGCACTGGTGTGCAGTTCAAAGTATCTGTGTAGGATGCTCCTGGATTTAACCTCCATCATCGCAAAAATCCTGCTCACTAGAGCCAAGAAATGGCATCAACTTAAGTGTTCACCAACTGATGAATGGATAAAAAAAATCTGATGTTAAGTATATGCACAAGGGAACAGGCTCAGCCTCACACACAAAAGTGCGATCCTCTCATTTGCAACAATATGCATGGAACTGCAGTTCACTAAGATTTTTCTGTGACAGGTTTCACTATGTAGCCCAGGCTGGCCTTAAACTCATGGCAGAGTGCTGGGATTACAGCTGTATGCCACCGTGCCTGGCCGGCGTTCACCATGTTAAGTGAAATAAGCCAGACACAGAAGACAATTTACCTCATGGTCTCAGGCATATGTGGAACATAAAAAGTCAATCTCATCAAAGTACAGCAGAGACTCTCAGGACTGGAAGAGTGCAGGGAAGGGGAGGGGAGGGCACTGATCACAGGGTCCTAAGTGACAGTGAGACAGAAGCAAGAAGCTCAGGGCGCGCTTAGAACAAGAGTGACTACAGACCAGTACCTTTCAAAAGCTACAGGAAAATACTTTTAAATGTTTTCACTATGGAGAAATGATCCATGTGTCAGCGGTAGGTGTAACTCGATTTAAACACTGCAAAATGCATATGGACATTGAAACAATATTAATGTGCGCAATTTTTTGTTTTTATGTGTCAGTTAAGATATAAACTTGGCCTCCAACTCACAGCGATCCTCCTGTCTCAGCCTCTCTAGTTCAGGGATTACGGGAGTGTGCCATTCCACCCAGCAAGGTACTAATTTAAAAAGACTATTTATAAAACAGTGTGGTATGGTTAATATAGAGACATACAGATTAATGGAATAAAATAAGCAATCAGAAAAGGGCCTACATAACTTAAGGTTAAACTGACTTCCAATAAGTTAAGAGAAAAAAGTCACCAACAAAGGCCATGGGAAGTAAAAAACAATCACAGGCAAAAAAATAAATGCATAAGAACAAAGACAACAGAAACTCACTCCACACTAAGACTAACTCAAATCTATTACAGGACTAACCATAAAATAGCAACTGTAAAACTTTCGGAAGAAAACACTACAGATAAACCTTTACAACTTTGGAGTTAAGGAAAATGGTTATTAAGATACAAGAGTAAACTCAAGATCCACAAAACAAATACTTGGTAAATTGTACTTTATCAAAAGTAAAACTTCCAGGGCCGCAGGGATAAAGCACTTTTCTAGCACACATAAGGCTCCAGGTTTGATTCCTCGTGAAAAGAAGAGGCACACACCAGGAGATGATTGTAAAATACTTGGCTGGCAACGTAGAGCAGTATGCAGATTTTAGAAAAGTTTCTAATGAAGTTAAAAATATGCTAACTATGTGCACTATCATGTTTGAGAACCTAGTTTCCTCGTATACCGGTACGAAAATCTTCAAAGGATCTACAAAAAAGCTATCAAAAATCAAGATAAAAATGTTTCATCTTCTGAAAAGTTAAAAAAAATGCAACACTTAGTAATACTTTTTTTTTTTAGTACCAGGGATCAACCTCGCACTTGTCAGACAGGTGCTTATGCCGCTGAGCTAAATGCCTGGCCCTAGTAATACCTTTTAACAGCCAGCACATGCCACGCTTGTAATCCCAGCAATTGGGAGGCTGAGGCAGGAGGCTTGCAGAGGTAAGTTTGAGGCCAGCCTGGATTACAAAGTGAGCCTTGCCTCAAAAAGCAAAAAACAAAACAAATGAATTTTAAAAAATAAATATATATACACGTATGTGTATACATATATATCTATCTTTTAAATGTTATTTTAATGTGTGAGAGGAGAAAAATTTCCCGAGTTGCACCTAACACAGTATCAGAGCTGAGTCTGTTTCTGGGTGTTAGGGACCCTGACGACAGGTGTGAGACACAGATGAGCGGTATAAAGGGACGGCCAGCCCTTCCCGACTTCTACCTGGAGTCTCCACCACGTGGACGATGGCCTCGTTGTTCTTGTTCACCGAGTAGGTGAAGTAGAACCAGCAGTCGTCCACGTCCTTCTCTTTGCAGTGGGTCAGCGGCTCCACCTCGCCCGGCTGCGCGAGCTTCTCCCGGCTTTCCACCTTGGTGAGGTTGAAGTGGGAGCACTCCTGCGCGCACCTGTCTTTCTTTTCTCCTTTATTGAAGGCTCTGCACTGAACGCATTCTCTGTTAAAACACAAATTGTTGTATTTAAACTGTACTGTTCAACGGAAGGGGGAAACAGAACAAAGCCTTTTGTGAGTGGGGAGGGCGCGGGGGAGAAGGGTTGAAGGGAGGGGGACAGGACAGCCAAGGAGGGAATGAAGACACATTCTGCATCAGCAGAAATTCCCTGTGACAAACGTGCCTGCTATGTATGACAAATATGTACTAACGAAACTGTTTTTAAAAGACACAAAAAGTGTTCCTTAGAGTAAATTTTGCTTCAGGATGGTTCTGTGTGCTGAGCTCACAACCCAGTGGAAGCACAAGCAGTCAAAGAGGCGCACTGCACTTCTGGGTGAAAAGGTGACATCTGGACGCTAGTTTTGAGCAGCTGTGGCCCCCGATGTCCACACCAGCTGCATCCTGGCTCGCCCAGGCCAGCCAGTGTGAAGAGGCATAAAGGTGCCAGCACCTTGGGAAAAGCACCCGGGAAGCTATGGATCATCCTAGCCGACAGCCAGTGTACCCACGCAGCCTCGCTATCGCGGGCTGGCCCAGAGGGGTTGGGAGACATCTGAGCAAACTTGAGTCCTCCAAATTTCTGGCTCCCAAATGTAGCTTCTCATGTCTAGGACGGGAAACTGCTCTGAACTTTGAAACAGACCTGGCTTCCAGGCCTTTCTAAAGGCACCAGCCTGGGCGCTACCATGCCACATGGTTAGCAATTCCACCAAAGTCATCTGCAAACTGCGTTTAACAACCCACTGTGATGTGAAACAATTTGTTCTCAAAACACAAAAAACTTTTCGCCTCTTCCTGTGACTAGTGGTTCTGAGCTTTAGCTACCTCTTTTTCTGTAGGGTCAAAAAGTACCTACATATATGAACGTGAATGGAAAAATTAAGGACCGAAATCAAGTATTAATTATGTCGCCATTTTCATTTGTGTGTTAATTCTTAATATAAATGCAGGAACATCCCAGCACTGAGGAGGCTGAGGCAGGAACTGCCATGAGATCAAGCCTGAACTGCAAAGCAAGATCCAGTCTCAGACAAAAAAGAAGAAAAGATATCAGTGGGCCTGGGAGTGTGGCTTAGTAGCAGACAGGGTTTGTGCAGAAGGTACAATGCCCTTGGTTCCAACCCCAGGGCCAAAAGGAAAAAGAAAACGCAGTTACTGCAATTTAATAAAAGTAATCACATAGACTCAATTATATAGCAAACTGGAATGGAGATATTACTATAACTCACACAATATAGTTTAATGTCATGCAATTCACAGCACTTACTGAGAAGGAATATTGTTTCTTCAGAAATAAAGAATGGCTTGTGTCCAACCTTTTACATGCAGGGTCATAAACTGTTACTTTTTACAGTTACCATTATTTTATGGACAGCATAATAAACCGTCCTTGTTCTGCTAACACCAATGTACTGTGGCGGAAGCTGACTGCCACTTCACGCGACTGGGACGCACGTACTTGTGCTCGGCGCAGACTCCGAGGCAGGTCTGGCACGTCTCGCAGGTCTGCCCCTGGAACTTGGGGTCCGTGCACTTGCACACGCCGCACTCGCACACACCCCGGCCATTGCAGATCTGCCCGTTGGTGGCCACGCACGGCGCAGTGTCCAGAGAGCAGTCACAGGCGCTGCCGGTGTAGTTGGGGAAGCACTCGCACACACGACACCGGCACACTCCATTGCCTGCGATGAAAGGACCCGCTCTCAAGATAATGCCAAAGCCCAGCCACAGCCATGGCTTAAAACGCAAAATCCACCCTGACCTGGACGGAAGCGCCCCTAGAGGAAGTGGGCGCCTTGCATTTGTTCACAGAGGAACTCTCAGGGCACTGCTGGGCTGCACTGTGGATACTACACTTTGCAACCAGACTGTTCTTACCTCCACAGATTAAGCCATTGGACCGATCACAGTTGAAGTTGTCGCACTCGCAGAATTTGCCCGAGTAGATCTCGTTGGTGTTGTCCCTCTTCCTGCACACGCACTGGCCGCACACACACTCGCCGTTGTTGCTGCAGATCTCGGAGCTGTTCTCCTTGCGACAGTAGGCGTCCATGTCCTCGCTGTTCACCTCGTCCGTGCTGCACTCGCAATGTCTGCCCACGCGCCCTTCATTGCACCTGAGGAGAAGCCCAGAATTGTATCTGTATCAGTTCCCTGGGAGAGGAAACAAGGCCAGGCACAGTCTCTTCTGGGCACCCACCCATGCGGCAGGGCTGTGCGAGCCACACACCATGGCGTGCAGACATATACACTAGCCCAGCCACCAGCAGCAGTCCACGACGCCTATGCAGTGGCTAGGGAAAAGTGTCTTCAGAAAGAAACCAATGTGACAAAAATGCAGAAATATAACCCAACACCAAACAGGTGAACAAAACCTGAGTCCACATGGACCTTGAATTTGCTATGGAGCTCAGGCTGGCCTTAGCTTCACAATCCTCCTGCTTCAGCCTCCCAAGTATGGGATGATAGGTGTGCGCTACCATGCCTGGCTATACAATATTTACTTAAAAAAGAATGTGAAGATATTATTTTCAAATGATATAGTATTATTTTTCTGTTACGTGCGAATTACCACTAAGTTTTCAAGCAATGGATCAACTGTTGACGTTAAAAACATGTCCTCAAAAGGGCAGAGAAGCTGAAAATATACCTAGTACATCAACTGCAAATATAAATAAAAATATTGATTAAAAATATCCTATAGGTCCAGAATTTGCAGATGTCCCATATATTTTCAGAATATCCAATGCTAATGACCACTGGTAAAAAATGGGAAGACGGGCTGGGGAGTTAGCTCAGTGGTACAAGCACCTCCCTGACAAGTGTGAGGTCCTGAGTTCAATCCTGGTACCAAAATAAAAAAAAAAAAAAAAGAGAGAGGGAAGAAAGGCAAAGAATTTTAAAGATAATTTTTTTGGTTAAATGGTATTTCACTAAAAAAAGATTTTCATGACATGCCATTTATAACAGTCAATAACTGGTAGGGAACTGTGGCCATGTATTTTTTTCATGGCTAATGACCTTTGTAAGCGCAGTTATCATGGGCTGACATTTATGTCAAAATGTCCTTTTCTTCTCCTATTCCTTTAAGAAGGAAGCCATGTTCAAAGTACATTTAGTTTTAATTTTTAATTTCAAAAACATCCAACAGATGCGGCGGTGTGCACCTCTAATCAAGGCACTCCTACAGGGAGAGGCAAGAAGATCACAAGTTCAAGTCCAGCTTGGGCAGCTTAGCCACTTAGCAAATCCTGTTTCAAAAAATTACAAAATAGAATATTTTCTGAAAAAAAGGCTGAGACGTAGAAAATCCCCACTACAGTAAGAGGGAAAAAAAAAAAGATGTAACCATGTGTGGAATACTTAAAGTAACTTGGTTTAAGTTACTTTCTACATTCTGGAAAACCCAATTTCCCCTTTTAATTTTACAATATATTCTATTTTCTAAAAAAAATTATTCCAACAAAGGAGGATTCATGGGGTATTGGCTAAACATTCTTTATTGCTTCAAAAAAAAAATCACTATTATCTGCTCAATACAATTTTCGAACACATTTTCCCAAAACACTTCCCAGTACACATACTTTCTGTAGGTTTATTGTGTCTTGGAAATTAAGAAGGTACCACGAGCAGGGAACCCCACATGCCAGCTTAACAAGTGCTGAATGGCCTTGTGTGACCAGGAGCACTGTCTGTCACTTTAGGCTGCCAGGGAGGGCTTCTGACCAAAGGCAGGAAACACAAGCAAGAGGGGCCAGAACAAATAACACACTCATTCCCACCAGAACTTGTGTGTTGCCAGCAACAGCCTGTCCTGTCCTGTCCTGTCCTGTCCTGTCCTGTCCTGTTGTCCTGCCCGGGACACCTCGGCAGCACCACCCACCACCCACTGCTCACCTGCAAGCACCACACTCGAAGGTCCCGTTGCCATCATGACACTTGGGGCTCTGGGGGATGCCCTCGCTCTGGCACTCACATTCGCAGATGAACTGGAGAATCACCTCAACCTCCTCGGTGAAGCCCTGAGGCTTGATTTTTATGGTCTCTGAATTCTTATTTGGACATTTATTGGCAGTTATACTAATTTCAAATTGAACCTGGAAGAGGGATGGAGACAGATTATGTTAATTTAGCAATGAATTAGAAAAAAGTCTTCTAAAAAGCTACTCAATGACTCTCAAATTAGAAAGTAAACTTTCTTAGGTATAAGCCATGTCTCTTCTACAGAGAATGTTTACACAACATACCTCATCTCCAATGGAAATATTGGAACATTTTCTTCCATTTTCCCCTGTCCCGTTTACCCCGTTCTTGCAGTAGGATTTGTAATTTATGGTTACACCTTCTGGCAATTTGGTGTTTTCCAAAATGACCTCTGAAGAAAGGGACTAAAAGAAAGACTAATTATGAACAGCTGAGTCAAATAAAATAGTACCTACATGCATAAAACCAATAGATAAACTGTTTAAAAAATGAAAAGTTATTTCAATGAAATACTGTCAGCCAAATCTAAATGAGTGCCTAGAAAACACAAAACCCAGAGAAACAGGCTCTAAGCAACTACAGTCTGATCTTAAAACAATGTACCTAACTGAAACTACTTGTTTCAATTATTCAGTTATAACCCCGGTGACCAGAGGCCTGACATTAACTAGGAGTTCCAAGAAAGGAGAACAAACTCTTTGCCCAAAGGCAATGGCTCCCCTCTGACTTTACGGCTTCCAGCTAACTAGAAACTAGTGTTAACAACTTATTATACAACCTGGGAGGAGACTGCTATTTCCTGCTCACACCCCTGAAAGGACAGCAACTAGAAAACACGTTGTAAGACAGAGAAGAACCACGGGGAAGTCATTCAGCAACCAACTGGCAGCTGGGAACCACTTCACACTGCCTCTCTCCGAGTCAGGTCTTTCTACAACACTAGGGGATCCCCAAGGCATGAAGTAAAAAAAAAAATTAAAATTAAAAATAATATATATATGAAGTTCAGCCTACCAAAGGGTTGAGGAGAGAGAAATGAAACTGGTGTGTGTGATCCATGACAGTTTCCCTACTGTTACAAATATCTTCAGATTAATACAGTAATTATTAACCAGTGTTTAAGGAGTAATCAGTAAAGTTACTCTAAGTCAAGCTTGAGAAAGGGAAGTCGATTCCTCTTTAATTTCAACTCCCACAGGTGAGATAAAACAATCTTACAAATCTCAAGATAGGCAGATCACATATATTTATATTTTTATTTACTATATAATATAAACCAAAATTATCTGAAAATACGGCAAGATAGGAAATAGCAAAAAAGCTTCTCCAGCAAAAAATATGATGGCAAAGTGTATCAGTCTCTAAAGGATGCTTTAGAAAAGAAAAAAATTAGGGGAACCTTACTAACGTAAATGCAAGTTGTATTTTACACAGGCTCCCCACAACGAGAGCCCCCCATCACTCACTGACAAACACATACTCAGAAATTTCCCCATAGGCCTTGATCATACTTATGAAACTACGGTTTCATAAGATATCATAAAGGTTTTTTTTCCTTCAGATACATAATTTGCTTTTGTCGTTGCCATGCTAGCTTGCCAAATTGTACATGAAGAAGTTTCGCTTTCTTTGAGCAAAGTTCCTTCACCAGGTATTGGCCAAAATTGATCTCACTTATTACAGTGCACTCACGTTGTACGCATCAATGATCAGGTGAATGACATTGCTTGAATTGGCAGATAACGTTCCCACTGCTGACTTAGGGATCAAATTTTTCAGTTCCTGCCATTGAAAGATAAAACATGTAAAATACCAACACTGGTCACTGAACCAATCAGAAGTCACTGAGCCGGGTACATTTATCTTTAAATACCAGTTCCCTGTATATTTCCTAAACTTCAAGCAGCAAACTGAAAAACAGGCAACTTGTTTAATGAAGTGTAATTAAAACTTACATAAATCTCTTGTAAAATTCTGTCTGCCTATCTGGTAGTATTTTCCTACACGTCTTATTCAGACATACAATTTTGCCTCTAATAACAAAACAGGAAAGAACAGAACTTTTTATTTCACACATATTTACCTTATAAACAGGCTGAAATTCTTCAGTAACTGCGAAAATCGTCTGAATGTTATTTTCACTGAGTTTCTGGACAAGGTGAGCAATAGAGGGATAATCCTAAGGAATTAAATAGTACAAGTTAGTACGCAAACACATTCTTCCTGTACCTCAGCTTTTTCGATACTTCTTGAATAATAATGATCTGCATGTGTAACTGCATAACTCACACTCATGAGCTTTCAAGCAAGAGTATAAAACAGCAATGATGACTGGAATGGGCCGTGTTCGGATGTTAGTTTCTTTTTTTATATGTTGAGTCTAATTTCTACTTTTCTGTATGAGAATTCCTCTATTAAAGTATCTTAAACTATAAGATAATCTATATACAGTAACTATCAGGACAATGAAGCTAAACAACTGAAGGCTGGGGATTTAGCTCAGTGATCCAGCACCTGCCTGGCAAGCACAAGGTCCTGAGTTCAATTCCTGGTACCAACAAAACAAAACGAAACAATCCATTCTACTACCTACCACTTAAGAGAAGGACCAAAGGAGCTGGGCCTGGTGGAACATGCCTACCATCCCAGCATATAGGATCCTCAGCAGGATCGAGGCCAGCCTGAACTACACAGAGAGACTGTTTCAAACACACACACACACATACACGACAGAAAAAGATCAAGAAGCATCAACATTGGGATGTTTTCGAGACTTTGAGTAATTTGTCAATCTTTATTCTCATTAAAGGTAGGGTATGTTTAAGACTCATGTAAAATAAGATAAAATAAGAATGTAAAGTTAGATGAATTATTTGTTCAGAAATAGCAGCAGCTCTCCTACAAAATAGAATATGCAAGTGAAAGGAGACAGCTACTGGCTGAGGAATGGAGCGGAAATGGGGTCCAACCTGTGAGCCGGGTCTAAGAGCAGGAAGCAGGCACACAGGTGACCCATCCCTCAGGGAGACAGCTGAGCTCCCTGAGGAGCTCCCATTTACCCCAAGCCCTGAAGTCCACAGCTAGTCACCCCCAAAACTCGCTGAACAATAAAAACCAACACAAACCACCCCTAGGCGAGGGCTCCGGCACTTACATAATAGTGGCTCATGGTGTACATGTTGTTCTCCAAGTGACACTGGCCGTCATTGGGCAAGACAATGCCTCCAAGCTTCCCATCTCCCGCGAAGTGGAACCCGGCATCAGTGGAAAACACCAGCAACCGGGTGACGTTCCTCCAGCCGATCAGGGACTGTGGAAAAAGGCATTTCAGCGTTAAAACGCTCCTCATGGTAACTCAGCAGCAGTTTTGATTTTCACACAGGCTGTAGCGGCACCGTTAGCCTAACTGCGTATCTTTAGTTTCTCTTTTCTTTACACAATGTTAATAGCTGTGCTGGTAAACACCAAAAGCCCAATGCATGAAGCTCCTGTGCCCCGTTATACAGCAATTCCTTGCTAAGCTGCCAGTGTCGCTCAGCTCTTTTTAAACACTGTCTTTTGCCGGGTGTGGTGGTGCACACCTGGAATCCCAGCACTCAGCAGGCTGAGGCAGGAGGATTGCTGAGTTTGAGGCCACCCTGGGTAAAATGAGTTCAAGGCCAGCCTGAACTGCACAGTGATACCAAGGCTCAAAAAAGATAGAACCACAGCACCACTGCAAGGCACCCTGCCTCTGACAGCTCTCAAAACTGTGCAAATGAGCTACCTGCCTGGTTTAGCGAGAGACGTGAGGTAAAACACACTTCCTGAAAGTACTTCACAGAGAAATTTAAGGGTTTAACATCTGTATTTCTCAGGAGTAAATGAGTGACATGGTAATTAAGCTTATTCTTTCTACTGCATGACAGTAACATCATACTTAAAACACCCAAATGGTACAAGAAAGCCCCCAGAGGAAATGGGCACACTTACTCCACAAACTGCCACTTGCATGATTGCATCAAAGCCACCTTCGGGGGAGTCCAGGTTCCCGGATATGCGCTGCTTGCCGACCAGTTCGTTGAACACCTCTCCCTTGTCCGTCAGACTGAGCACGTTTTTGTAGCTGAAGGGGCTGGTGCAGTTCTGCTCACTAGTGCACGGGTTCCTGAGCTTTGCTGGTGTTGTGCTAATGTAAGGCATCACCGTTTTCTCCACGAAGGAGCCGAATCCTGAGAGGAAAAGAATGCACACGGGGAGACAAATACACAGATAAAGATGGTAAGATAAGCTTGCACAGTCTGAAAAGGTCAAGCATGGTTCCGAGTGCAATTTGCTACAGACAATATCTGTGCCCCTCCCCCAAGTCCTCACATCAAAAACTGAATCTGCAGTGTGACGGCACAGGAAATGGACCCTTCTGGGTGGTCAGATCATAAAGGAGGAGCCCTGGGAACAGAGAGTTCACTAGAGGACCTGGGATTGGCAGCCCGCCCTCCACTGAAGGAGAACACTGCTGTGACACCACCCGGGAAGCAGAAGTGGATGCTTAGCAGACAGGAGGCTGCTGTGACTGTGACCATCTGGGCCCCTGGACAGTGAGGAATCAATGTCTATTGTTTATAAGTTAATCAGTCCATGGTGTTAACAGTTTCGACGTAGACCAAACAGACCAAAGTCTACCAGCTTCAAAATCACCTCACATTCACTGTCTTAGCACCAAGGCTCTCTACAATGGCATGGTGACTGAATGAATGCATTCAGTCATATATGTTCTGGGTTTTTGACCTCTTCAAAAATAGGTCAGGAGCTGGAGACAGAGCTCAGTGGCACAGTCACCTGCCTGCCAAGCACAAGGTCCGGAGTTCAATTCCAAATATCAAAAAAGAAATATCAGAAAGAGCTTTCAATTTCCATCATCAGTTATGCTTACTGAATAAAAAGGCATTTTTTAGCAAGTACTATTTTTAAAGTGTTTCTACTTACAGAAAAGTTAATTTTTAAAAGGCAATGTTTAGTCCTCAGAAAAGCTGAGCCTGGTTGCACACACCTGTAATCCCAGCACTTGGAAGGCTGAGGCAGGAGGATCACTGTGAGTTCAAGACGAGCCTGGGCTACAAACTGAGTTCAAAGCCAGCCTGAACTGCATAGTGAGATCCTATCTCAAAAAGACAAAAATACAAAGGAGTCCCTTCCATAGTTTATTGTTAAACCTCTGGTGCACCAGGAATGTAGAGGAGGCGGAAGAGGGGTTTGGTTGCAGAAGCAGGACAGGAGGAAAATAAAAGGAATCATTACAGTAAGAAAAACCCAGACAGGAAGTGAAATCAGGCTGTACAAGAAGTGGGTGATTCTAATTAGCAATGAAATAGAATCTGGGGTACTGGACACATTTCTAAAATGAATCAATACAGGAATGGGTAAATTCCTGGAAAAACAAGCATGGATTTCTTTATCTATAAGGCACAATCTGTGTCAAACTGCATAGCAGCACGCCATGTCCCAAGAATGGGGAAGGAGAAAGCATATCATATACGTGAAAGGACTCACGGTACTCCCAGAAGGAAAAGACTACAATCTGGCTTATTTATGTCACACATATGCAGTGAAGAACAAAGGAGAAACCCATCAAAGGGCTTTGAGAAGGCCAAGAACTATCCACCTGAAAATTACTGATTTTCCCAACATTCCTACCGATTCGGAAGTCTGAAGTAATCCTCTTCATTTCATACATCAGCTCTGTCCCGAGACTTTTTACATTCTCCAAATCATCTTTCATGGAGTAAGACAGGTCCATAAGGTAGTACAGATCAATAGGATAGTCTTCAGCTCGCTTGAATTTTAATGTAAAAGTCTGTGGCTCTCCTAATGAAACCCAGGTGAGAAGAAAGAAAATTAGCAAATCTATAACTGAGCAAATGAGAGTAAGCAAATAAATCTGATTTACATGGTAAGCACTATAACATGAAATGCATAAAATATATAATTCTTAAGAAACCTGAAAAATTTCACAAGCAACCCAATTTACATATGTAGTCAGTTTCATTCAACAAACACTTTAAAAACAATCAGTTTTTAAGGCACCAAAGATTTAAGAGAACGACCAACACTGAACAAGACAGACCAACAGTCACTGTTGTTACTTTGGGTGTGGAATTTTTTCCCCCCAAACCACAGGTGTAAAAATGCTGCCCTGGGAGGTGGTGAGAACTTCAAGTTGGGACTGAACTGAAGGCCTGGGCCACTGTGGAGCACCCTGGGGTGGGGGTGGGGGTCTTTAGGCCCCCAGTGCCTTCCTCTCTCCTCTGCACCCTGAGCCGGAAGTGAATTGAACACTGTGGCTGTCACCTGCATGGCCAGCAGGCCACAGGCCCACCCACAGGAACTGGGCCACTCGGGCACACAGCACAACTGTGAAGCTGGAAGCCCCAGTAAGTTCTCTTCACAAGGTGACTATTTCCAGTAGTCCTCACAGCAACAGAAAGCTGACTCATATTTACAACTCTGAGCAAACAAATACCATAAATGAGACTGGGGGGCCAATGTTCGGGACGCGTTAGAGATGTTCCCTGTGTAACAGGATGGCACCACATGCCAGTGAGTAAAATAATCTCATTTTTATTTTAGAAAACCTCACCAACAGAGAAAGAAACTATGTAAAATGTCCAAGGGAGATCTGACGAAGCTGTGAAGTCCATCAGTGAGGGAGGACAAGCTACACACGAGACCCTAAACGGGATTTGCTTGGTACAGGGGCTGGGGGCACAGTGGAGGACCTGGGTTTGCCCCCCTGCACCCCGCATCTCAAGAAAGGGAGAGAAAGAAGGCTTGGGGAAAAAAGCATTAACTTTTAATGTGTAGATTTATCTCTCTATGAGTTTCTAGCAGGCAGCTGGACAGACAGGTGTCAACCTCAAGAGAAACGTTTCATGTGGTTACAGCACACAAATGTTTTCTAAAGCCATGAAAGGAAAACCAATCTTTAAGTGAATGCAGAAAGGAGGCAAGAAAGATACAAAAGGAGAAGGCACTAGGAAAAGTGAGAATATTTCAGCACGGCACAGGAGCCAAGCAAACAGCATGGCAATTAATCCCGAAGCATCACCTGCTCTGAGCAGGTCTAAAATAACACCAGGAGCAGGGATATCGCTGAGCAGCTCGGTGCCTGCCTGGCAAGCGAGAGACTGTAGGTCTGATTCCCGGTACCAAAAGAACTACTAACAAATTAATAAAATAAATACATAGCCTTGATCAGAATCTCTCAAGGTGACAGTGGACATGGAAGGGGAGTAGGGGGCAAGGAGCACCCACTTTTTTCCCCAGAGAAAGGATGGAAGAAAGACAGGATGGACTGGACAGCTCATTTTTAGATGTGGACTCAGAGGAACTCTGAACCCTGTTAGTGATAGTAAGCAAATGCAAAGGAAGCCAATGGGTTAAATAAAATGCAGCTTTTTCTGGGCACATTGGTGCACACCGGTAATCCAAGTACTTTGAAGGCTGGAGCAGGAGGATTACTGTGAGTTCAAGACCAGCCTGGACTACATAGTGAGTTCAAGGCCTGTCTCAAACACATAGTATAAGACCCTGTCTAAATAGTAAGTAAATAAATAAATGAATGTATGTTGCTTTTACAAAATTACAGCAGACCATGGGCACTATTGTTTTTAATCTCTATTAAGTCTAATAACTCCTGAATCTTTAACCAAATTTGCTTCCAATATTAGGGAACATATTATTCAAAGAACATATTTTTAAGATATGTTTTATACATTGTTGGCTGAGCTGAGCATGGAGGTAAATAACCTGTAATCCCAACACTCAGGAAGCTGAGGCAGGACAGTTACTGAGTACAAGGACAACCTAGGCTACCCAGTGAGTTCAAGGCCAGCTGAACTATATTGTCAAATCCTGTCCTAAGAAAACAAAACAAAACTTACATATGCAAAAGAGTATTGGAAATCTTAACCTATTTCCTATTTCTGAGTACCAGGCTACCGGTGAGAAAGAGCCCCCCTGTGAAAACTGACTCACTTAAAGTTGGTGTCAAAACCACAAGTAGAACATAAATACTTTATTTTATTCTTCTTTTTTTTTTTGGCACCGGATATCAAACTCACAACCTCACGCTTGCCAGGCAGGCGCTTATGACACTAAGCTAAACCCCCGGCTCAAACATAAATAATTCAAAGAGCAGAATGTGAAAGCTACATTAAGAAACAGATCTAGAGAGGGCACAATGAGGAAGGCAGGGAAGGGGGTAAAAACAACCAGGCTGCAACATGTATGTGTATCAAACCCAAACCAAATGTAATCACAAGTACATCCTTATCACAAATATATACTAATTTAAAAAAACTTAAACCTCCAGTAGAGCCCGGGGGCAGCATGCTTGCCCAGCAGCACGGGCCCTGTGGCCAGCACAGACGTGGGCACTCAGGTGGCCGAGGAGCCATGGCGGGGACCACGCACCTGACCGCAGCTGCAGGACCAGCTGCTGCGGCTGGATCTGAGTGATGTCCTCGGGGTTCAGCTTCCCTGCCGCTCCTTTCTTCCTGTCAGTCACGTTTTTATTTTTCTTTACGTTTTTGGAGCCCCTGGGATTTTCTATGTCATCTGGATGGCAGCCCTTCTTTTTTAAGGCTTCCAGATCGTCACATCGTGCAGAAGTAGGCATCCCTTCTTGTAAAAACGTCTAAATGATATAGAAAATACTGACATAAATAAAAACGAAGCAATCAAAAACTTTTTTTTTTACATAGTTGCAAGGCAAGTTTTAAAAAAACACAAATTAATCTAAGGTACTTCATTTCTGTCTTTTAGCAAAACAGCCCCTTCCCCAAACCATCACAAGCTTTGTACAAAAACAAGCAAAATCATTTTAAGAAAGTACAGGCTTCCCAGCACTGGTCCACATTCACATTTTAAACTTCCCATGTTCAAGGAAGTTCATTTCTTCCATGAAATCGTTTATTTACAATAATTAACTCCTAATAATGTTTAAACCTGAGTATCAGACAATTTAATTCTCCTAGACAAATCCTTACAGTTCAGTGTGTTTGTGTGTTACTGGGGACTGAACCCACAGCCTCCACAATCAGCTATGACCCTAACCCTTTCTGTCTTTTGCAGCAAGGTCTTACCACACCACTAAGTTGCCCAGGCTGAGCTCAAACCTGTGATCTTCTGCCTCAGCCTCTCACAGTGCTGGGAATACAGGTGTGTGCCACCATCCCTGGCAAACCCCCTGTACAGAACCGCGAAACATTTAGGGAAAACATATTAACCAAAATAAATCCGAATTAATGGGAGTCTTTTGAAAAAGGAGATAAGGAAATCTAGCACAGATTTAACAGGTATTCCTAAAAGTTTAAAGAAATTTAAATCCTGACCCCTGGGCTTGGTGGTGCACACCTGTAGTCCCAACACTCAGGAGGCTGAGGCAGGAGAATCAGTCTGAGGCCAGCCTGGGCTACAAAGTAAGCTCACAGCCAGCCTGAACTATATAGCGAGACTCTGTCTCAAAAAGAAAAGAAAAGAAAAAAAAAAAAAAAAAAAAATAGTGGAATAATCTAAACAACAAAAGTATATAACTGGGGGGGGGGGGAATTATATAATAGAAATATAATATATACCACAAAGCTGAACTATATACAAATGTATTTTTAAACTAATAGCCATGCTGGGGGGAAGTAGTGAGGAGAATAACAAAGAAAGTTAATTTTACCACATGTTCCCATCATTTCAGCACTGCCGATTCTCTTATACTCAACCATCAAACCTTGGCACACATTTCAGACTTAAGAGAAAATCTCATTGTATAAGACCTGTACTCCAAGAGCTCAGGGGCCATGCGCCTCGTGGCCGCTGGGACAGCAAGTGCTGGACGTCACATAGTACCCACACCTGCTGCTTTCGGCGAGCTGTCCCAGCTGGAATTCCCGAAGGATCCAGCACGGGCCAACACTGGGTGACCAGGAAACACGAGGGGGCTGACTTACCGCATTGGTGCACCAGCCACAGTTCGGCCCCGCTTGGATACACTCTCCACATGATTTGGCATTGGCTTTCAGACACCTATTTTTATCTGTCAAGACAAAGAAATAATAGACCTATGTAAGTAAAGGTAACAAAAAATCAGGACTCTAATGACAAATTACGCAGTAAATACAGAAAGATTAGATAGGAACATCTGACCTCATTCCCAAGTTGAACAAACCTATCGCAAAGACTGAGCTCTCATCACCTTGTCATGAAGGCCACATAACAACACAGTTCTCTTTCTTATCTTTCACATCTTCTTAGATTAGGTACTATTCTACTTACACACTTCCACTGTTCTCAAAGGTGTAATTTCAGAATCTATTATTCTGAATGGTTACAAATGCCATGAAGGTGCCCACAATTAGGTGAGGTGTTATTTTTTCCCATGTTACTTGGTAGCACACCCACATCCCAAATGCAACCCTGGGGCTTTCATTTCCAACATATTAAATAACTGAGAAAGCCACATAACCCATAATCATCCAATCCATTATTTCATGAATTTTTAAACTGTTTTCAAAATATTCCTTAAATTTCTCTCAGTCCACCTAAGGACTAATACGCCTTTCATGTAATACATTTTAATTAATTAAAGTCAGATTCCAATGTATTTTTTAACTTTTTTTTTTTTTTTTTAAGACAGAGTCTCACTATGTAGTTCAAGCTAGACTTGAATTCATTATGTAGCCCAGGCTGGCCTCAAACTCACAGCAATCCTCCTGCCTCACTCAGCCTCCCAAGTGCCAGGACTACAGGCGTGCACGACCATGCCTGGCCTCCAGTGTACATTTTGTGATCATAAACCTAGCAAATCTTTTATGAAGATGATTCAGAAAACACCAAAGAGTGACCAGGCATAGCGGCGCTTGCCTGTAATCCCAGCACTTGGTAGGCTAAGGATTGTTGTAAGTTCAAAACCAGCCTGGAATACAAAGTGAGCTCAAGCCTGGTCTGAACTGCACAATGAGACCCTGTCTCAAAAAGACCAAATTACAAACAAACAAAAAAAGAAAACACAGAAGACAGTATAACAAGCAAACTAAAAATCACCCACAATCTGTTCAGTGAGATAACCACTGTTAACATTTTTGTGTATACCTTCCTAGTCTTTCAACAGAGATCAGGAAATAGCAAGGGGGTGAGCATATATACGTTATTATTAAAATGAAATTAAGCCAGGGATTTAGCTCAGTGGCATAAGCACCTGCCTTGCAATTGTGTGGTTGTGAGTTTGATCCCCAGTACCAAAAAATAAAAAAAACGGAATTGAGGATGTATTTTATATACACAGTTTTAGATACTGCTTTTTAAAAGCATTCTATCCATGTCATTACAGATTCTTCAAAAATATGACTTTTAATGATTATGTCATATTCAGTTACACAAATGTACACTACGTAATGTTGGACGGATTTAGACTGCTTCCAATTGCCATTGTATACAAGCTTGCTCACATGCACACAAACACTACAAAACACAGGAACACCCCAAGCGTGCACGCACGCACACACACGCACACACACACACACACACACACACACACACACACCATGCACATCTACACAGGCACTCTGATGACTCCTTACAGATAAACCTCAGTCCATGTCTAATTATTTCTAACAAATTAAAAAAAAAAAAAAAAAAGAACTACCAAGTTGAAGGATAAATTAACTTCAAGTTCTTAATATAGAAAGGCTATTCATTTAATAGGTATAAATTAGAATATTAACTGTCAGCTACTTAGCATTTCACATTTTTTTCATTCCTTTTTAAATTTTTTCTTAGTTCTTTCACAAGTTTTCCATTGTCAGGTTCAGGGGTTCTTATTAAATGTTTACATATATTAAAGAAATTAAACGTTTTTAGCCTTTCATCTTGTCTATAGTGTTCTGACATACAGATATTGGATAATTCAAATTTATCAATAGTCTCACTAAGGGTTCTTTCTGTCATCTGTACATGTAGTAACTCTTTCCCATTCTAAAGCCAAAGGTTGAGATTTGGAGAAAAAACCTGGATATTTAGTATTCTGGATGGGTCAAATGTGGTTCACAGAAAGATTAAACAGATTGTAAACTTCTCCGCTCTTCTAGATGATGCCAGCATTTTCTAAGACGTCCACCTTCCTTAGTGGACAGTTACTAGTCCGCCATTCCACGTGCCTAGTTATTTGCCTCTGAAGGCATCACCTGCCTTGACCAGCTCCCTGCTCACGTGACTACCAGACCTGCCCCCTCCCTTCCATGCCAGCGTTCACCAGCCTCCCCCGGGCAGGGTCACAGACCTGCAAAGCCCCTGCTCTCATCAGGCTCCCGAAGGCACCACATGGGCTGACTCGGGTCTCCCCAGGCTTCTAACTGATCAAAGAGTGGTAAGAGACACTGAAATAAAACAGAACTAGGAAAAGCGCCTTTTTCTTTTTACCTGTTTGGCCAAACACACAGCAAACTGAACTGAGCAGTCCAATCCAGAAAACCAATTGTAAATTCATCTGAAATATAAAACGTGCATCGTTACAATAAGGAAGTTACAAAAGCTTTAGATAAAAATGTGCCACCCTCTCAGATTGTGTCCCGGTCCTCCCCAGAGGTTACCTCAACTTTCTCCCACATGACTGAGTCACTTCTACCCTTGATCCCTCCATTCCACTCTAGCTTTTCTCCAGAATGAGTGTTTCAAATTTTAGTGCTAAAAGTCATCGGTTAAATGTGCTCACAATAAAAGAAAAACAGTATCAAGTGTCTCCTAACACAGTAGAGGCAGGGAGGTTTGCTGGCTCAGGGCACCATGACTGTCATGACTTGCAGGGGCTCTGGAGGACCCCATCAGTTGCCTGTCACCTTGACACTGCATTTTGCTTGAGCAAATTCTTCAAAACCCAACCTTTCTTCCCAATGCTTCCGATATTTCAAGTGGGTTTCTCTTGCAGCTCAGGTGTTTTATCTGATCTTCTGTTATGCTTTTTTTTTTTTTAAAGAAAATCAACTATGCATGCAATTAGTAAAATATGCAGTTAATTCTCTGCAATTTCCAGTTCTACAAAGTAGACCAAATAAAGAACCTGACTGAGCAACTCTTAAGTATCTTCCAGCATCCCTGCAGATAAAATTAGGTAACATTTTGTTACTAAACAAGACTAGCCCAACTTCCAATCATTAGGTGGATGACTGTTTTCTCGATCCAAGTTTCCAGAGAGCTTCACAATTTATACCTTACCAGCTCTGATCCAAAATGGCCTTGGCCACTACTTCTTAACTGCTTCCTGCCCTGGGCAGCATTTCCAGGCTCACAGTGAGTACCAGTCCCTCCCACAAGAATATGACAAAGTATGAAATCATTTTACTTTTCCCATAAAATAAAAAAAAAAAAGTAAAAAAATATGAAAAAGAGGTCAGAGATTTAGCTCACTGGTATAAGCTCACCTGCCTGGCAATCTTGAGATCATGAGTTCAATCCCCGGTATAAAAAAAAAAGCAAATATAATCAAAAATTTAGCTCTACCAGTTAGCAAAAATAATATAGCAATCTAAGGTAAACCAGCAATGGGGGAGAACCCAACAAACTGGCAGAAACTCGTACTACTGAGATACCAGCTCTGTCAAATGGTATATATTTTTGGAAAATAGTGTGGTGACATCATTTAAAAAAGACGTTAAAGAAAGTTTCTCTAACTTAGCAATTCAACCACTAGGAATTTACCCTAAGGTGAATGAATACTTGCAACTATAAGAGAAAATAATGAAAACATAAAGGGTGATGTACATCCACCCATGTTTAATATGGTCTCTCACATTTCTTTCTTGATTTTTGTCCCCGGAACTGAACTCAGGACCTCGCACCTCCCAGGCAGGTGCTGTACCACTGATCTGCATGGCCAGCTGCTGGAATATTTCTATAGGCAGAAAAAAAATGCAAACATCCTATACGTTGGGGGAATAGGGAAATCTGACGGCATCAACTTTACACACTGTCACAAAAATAATAAAATGCAACAACATTAAAAGGCCGATAGAGCCGGGCGTGGTAGCTCACGCCTGTAATCCCAGCACTCGGGAGGCTGAGGCAGGAGGATCGTTGCAAATTCGAGACCAGCCTGGGCTATAAAGTGAGCTCAAGGCCTGCCCAAACTGCATAGAGACCCTGTCTCAAAAAAAAGACAAAAAAAAAAAAAAAAAGCCGATAGAATAATTCTGGTAATATGTATTTTAACATGAGTGCAAAGTCACTTAAAGGTTCATAATATAAAATAACCACAGAGACTTGGAAAAGACAATTACATGACAATGAGGTTTTGTTTACTTTTAAAATTTTTATACTGCCCTTTTTGCTTTCTTAATAAAAACAATTACATTTCAGCTTAACCATGTGGATTTGGGGGGAGGGGTGGAATTTCCTTTCATAAGAAAAAAGTTCAGTGATTCGCTTATAGAGCAACCGTTTCCTTCAAAGCCCTCGCTTCCCATGGGCTCGCCCTGCAGAGCTCCAAGCAGCCAGATCTGAACACCCACCCTGCTTCCCAGAGACAAACAGCCAGGCTAACTCCTATGGAGCTGCCCACTTTGCTGGGAGCTGATGCCCGCAGGCTCTGTTAGGCGGGGTTTACAGCAGCTTATGGATCACTGTGGCTGCTTCCCAAAGACCCACAGAAGCTAGGCACACGCAATCCTGCCTGAAAGGTGGAACTCAGGGTTGATCCATGCATTATAAACCATCTGTCCCTTCCACACGACCCAAGCTCTGATCCCAAAGGAGCAGAGCAAGTGGATGCCTAAGGAAACACGTCCCTGTGACAAGTTTCCACGCCAAGTGAGTGGAACAAATATTTGTCCCATGTAAGTACTGACCACTGGGCCCCCTTAAGAAAGCTTGCAAAGAGCTGGGTGTGGTGGTACACTCTTTTAATCCCAGCACTCTGGAGGCTGAGGCAGGCGGATTGTTGCAAGTTCGAGACCAGCCTGGGCTACAAAGTGAGCCTGAGGCCAGCCTGAAGTCCATAGTGAGACCCTATCTCAAAAAGACAAAAAAAAAAAAGTTTTCAAAAATACCATGCAATTCAGAGAATCTCACTCAGATAAAGCCAGCTGGCAACAAAAAATGTTTCCTAATATTCAGAGGCTCCGCTGCTTTAAAACATTCCTTTAAATGCCACTGTTCTTTTCCTTCTATAAACTTTGACAAGCCAACAAAGACATCGGAAACCGTGGGGCCTTGGAAGAGCTCCAAACCCAGGGCCAGTAAAACAAGGCTCCAGGATTGAGGAGCAGCTGAGAGAACAAGGTCAGCACCGGGAAGGGCAAAGGACGGACGTCCGCTCCGGCAGGAGCTTGGCCTGCGGGAGAAACAGAGGTGCTGGCCGGTGGGGTCTGTCAAAGGCCAGCAGAGGGGAGCCAGAGAAGCACCGGAAGACGGCAGGGACTAAGAATAACCAGGAGGGAATCCAGAGGGTGGGGAGGGGGAAAGGAGCGCGGGAAGGGGAAGTGAAAAGAATGAATATGTGTTACACACACGGACCAGCTCCCCGCGCCAAATGTGATCATTCTGTACTGCAAATGCGTACAGTCAAACGCAAAGTAGAAACACAGAAGCGGGAGGAGAAGCCACAGCCTCCCACCGAGCCTGACAGGAACTGGACAGAGTCCCAGACTCAAAGCCTCTAGTGACAGAACTCAGGGTGGCTCAGGGACCACAGCCTCAGATTCCCCCAAATGCCTTTCCACGCCTACAAGGCACAGCCCTCAGTGCTGTGGGGCTGTTTCCTACGCTGAGGAAAGGTGCCCAGGAGTTTCCCATCAGTGACACTGCACACAAGCTGGCCGTGAGAGGCCACAGGGACAGAAGTCAGGGAGACAGACGGGGAGAGGTGTCAGGGAGACACTGTCCCAAGCCTGCCCGGGTCTCGCCAGTTTGTGGGCCAAGGTCTATCGCTGTGGTCTACACTGCTCTCGGTTTCCTAATCACCTTCTCCATTCTCCGCTGACTACAGCTGATGTCCACGTCCTGCCAGTCCTCCAAAAGAGCTCCCTCCTGCCTTATCTCTCTGCTTCTACTCACTCATTCCTGCACTCATCATTTCTCGGCTGGATACACTCCATCACTTTACCACCAAAGAGCTCACACAAAGCAACACTGGCTATTACACAGATTCCTTTTATTTTTTAGAAACAGATTGGCCCAGCGTGGCCTCTAACTCACAGCAATCCTCCTGCCTCAGCCTCCTGAGTGCTCAGCTCCGAGGCTGTCCCCCTAAACTGCCACATCTTCCTTTCTGAATGCACACTATTCCCTTGGAGGGTACTAGCTCTCTCTCTCCGTTTCCAGGGGTCCTTCCTGGGACGACACAACAGGTTTTGTGCCAAGCCTAGAAACACAGATATTGTTGCTTCGAGGAACTTTCAGTTTAGTTCAAAGACAAAAATACAGATCATCACAGAGATGTGATGGCTTCTGTAGAGCAGACAACACACAGTGCGCTGGAGTCACTGAAATCTGTCTCCCCAGCTGCGGAGGTTTCGTGGAGACCAAGGGTTTCAGCTAGAACTGAAGGCACAGAGACGGCAGGCGGGAAGACACTGTCCCACAAAGGCCTGCACAGCAAAGCCATGGAGCCCCAGGAGGCCCAGCAGCGACTCTGGGGCAGTGCATGAGGTGCCTCTGCACTCCCAAGCTGGAGTCTCATCTCGCTATTTCTCATTACAGAGAACAGAAATGAGGGACAGACAGACAAAGACAGAGAGACAGAAAAGGCTTTGTCTCACTTTTTCTCTTTACAGAAAAAAGAAAGAGTAAAAACACTGCTTATGCCTTGTTGGTAAATGAGCTACTATTTATCCTTATAAATTTCTGCCATAAGCATTAACTTTACTATTTTATAATTTTAAAAACATCAAAAAGGCCAAAAAGAACTTAAAGTACTTACATATATTTCTGAGACTTAACTTAGGAGCTGGAAATAGCAGGAACTGAGAGAGGGCAGAAAGGGGTCCCCAGAGGCAGAGGGAAAGCTTTAGACTGCAGTCTATAAACAGTAGAGGAACCCAACAACTTAGGGCAGGACAGCAACATGACCCCGTGCCCTTGGCAGAATCTCGTGAGGAAGAGGCAGGCTGGTGGGCAGCAGTTGGAGGAGCAGCACAGAATTCACCACCGAGGTCCAAGTGAGGCCATCCATGATTAGAGTTCGGAGGGCAGCCGCGGAGGGGCTGGCCATGGGGCCTGGCGGTGTGATGCTGGCCTGTCACGTGGAAGATTTGGGGCTTGAGACCCAGCACCACAAAAAACAGCAATAGACAAAAGGATGAGAAAAGGAGTGGGGACTGAAATTTGCATGAAGCACGAGTGAGAAAATTGGAACCTGCAGAACCACCAGTTTTAATAAAGAAGAAACCGTGTCCAGAGCTGTGGAAAGTGGGGTGGCTGCAGGGAGACACCCACAGGTCTGGGTCCCTGCAGATAGACTGGGGTCATTATCTAGGGGTAACTGCACTCAGCAAA